CTAGCAATAGCTGTCTTTGCTGGGAGTGGAGGAATAGGAATAGATGTCCTCAGGTGAGCATGTGCTCAAATGAGCCTTCAGTCAGTCCTCGTGCTTGATTGAACTCCTGGAGGGCTCCACTTTGTGCCAGACCACAGTTTGGAGCCTCTTGTTATTTTTATCCCCAATTAACAAAATTTTCCGAATTTAAACGAGAATATTGAGATACTCTGTTAAGAGGTATTACTACTAGCCATTATTTATCTTAAGTCTCTTGTTCTCTGTTTTCAACAGTCCATGGAACCCTGACCATTTCGCCCTATCCACACAGGGTACCATCTGTGTGAAAGGAAGTAACTTGGGTAAATAGGAGGACAGTTCAGGCTTTGTCTCTCCTTGCCTATCCCTCCCATCTCTTCTCTCTTCCTCCTCTTCACTTTTTTCCCCCCTCCTCTTGAGACAGAGTCTCATACTCTGGGCTGGCCTCCAACCCATCTCTTAGCTGAGGATGACCTTGAGTTGATCATCTCCCAGGCATGCTCTTCCACGAATGGTTTTATGAAGTACTAGGGATCAAACTGAAGGTTTCAAACGTGCATGCTGGGAAAAACGCTCTTCCAGCTGAAATCCATAGCCTGCTTACTTGCTGTTTTCCTAGGAATGCATTCTGGTGCAGGGAATTGTATGGGATTAGAGAGATGGCTTGGCCCTTAAAAAGGCTAAGGTTTACAACCATTGAGATAGTAATTGTTTGTATGGCCAGGAATTTGTGTTCTTGGCACACTGCTAAAAGTTGCTGTCACTGTCCTGGTGACACATACTATTTCCTAGTGCAAAAACAGAGGGGTAGAGAAAGTCACAGAAGCCAGGTCTCCTTTGGAATGCTAAACCAAGCTCCCAATTACACTAAAGGGAGTCATAAACCCTGATTGCTCTGGGAACATTCTTAGTAGCTGTCAAATATTTAATAAGATCTTCATCAGCTTCATTTACATATTAATGGAAAGGGGAAATTTCACCAGTTTTGCTCTAGTCTTTGATATTTCGAGACAGGGTTTCCCTGTTTAACAGTCCTAGCTCTTGTAGACCAGGCTGGCCTCGAACTCAAGAGATCCACCTCCCTCTGCCTCCTGAGTGCTGGGATTAAAGGCGTGCGTCACCAGGGCCCGGCCTTTTGCTTTGTTTCTTTAAGATAGGGTTTGTATTGGTAGCCCTGGAACTCACCTGTAGACCAGGCTAGCCTCAGACTCAGAGGTGTGCCTGCACTAGAAATAAAAATGTGCGTACAGACTGGAGAGGTGGTCTTTAAGAGCACAAGTTGCTCTTGCAGAGGACCAGGGTTTGGTTCTCATCGCCCACATGGTGACTTAACCATCAGTAACTCCAGTTCCAGAGGATCTGGCTTACCAGGCATGCACGTGGTGCACATCCATGCATGCAGGCAAAACCCGCTAGAACTCCCGTAGCTCAGACTGGCATCAAACCTGATAGGTAGCTGTGGGTGACCTTGAACTTCTGATCTTTTTGCCTCAGCCTTTTTTAAAAATGTGCGTTGTTGTTTTGCATGCATGCATGCATGTATGTGTGAAAAGTGTCAGATCTTAGTGTGGGTGCTGGGAATTGAGCCCCAGTTTTCTAGAATAGTCATTTTCTACCACTTACCTCCGAGTCTTTTAGGATCACAAGTGTATACCACCATTCCAAGCTTGACAGCACATTTGATTAACCATCAGTATATAGATACCAATCCTTCTGGATGGAAGAAATGATATGGGGATATCTCTAGTTGAGGCTCAAGTCAGTATGTATAACGGAGCATTCATAGTGATCTAGACAAGGGAGTGAAGACAGGCCTCAAGTAAATAAAGGATATAGGTCGTGCAGTGGAGATTGCATTTTAATTAGGGAGACAGTTATGTGCCAGTTTATAAGAAAGCAAGCCTCACACGGTAGTACACACTGCATGAGAAGCTCACGGCTTTCGGGGACCTTCCAAGGGCATACTGTGGCATAGACGCAGGTGTCACAGCTGCTGTTTTTCCAGCCATCCTGCGTCAGCCTTACAGTGCTCAGACTAGAGGCACATGTCTCCATGGTCAGCTCTGAATGGTAACCAGCATGCCAGTTGAGCAGAGAAGCAGAACAAAGAGTTATTACAGGTTCTGAGCAAGGTACTGGCTGCTGATTTTCCCTTCCAACTAAGATTCTCACTGTCATTTAATCAGTGCTAGTCTGGTCATGAAGGACAGTGGGAAATGTATGACATACGTTTAAGATTTCAGCCAGAGCCTAATAACAAACCTTCAAAAAATATCACCTTCATCCCAGACATGGAGGTTTTCTTTGTCATGGTACCAGAAGTCCATCTGCCTGCTGTTGCCATGGTTGTCATGTCCTGGTCTTAGCAGCTGGACAGTGTCCTTGTCATCGCCTGCCCCTTCCTGCTCTCACCTAGGAATGCACAAAAAGCTCTAGACCTGACTGGATGAGTTGGCGCAAGAAGGGTGGCAAGGCTGGCTATGGTCATCATGGCTGAGGTTGAGCCAAGCCTTGTCTCTAGGATATGAGCTTCCTGGGTCAGAGGCAGGACTTATCTGGGGAACCTCCTGGCTCCTTAGTGGGTGACTGGGGATGTCTGAAGATGAAGCCCTCTGTTGCATTCATTGTTTCTTTTTTATTTTTGGACAGTCTAGTACTTTAGTCTCCAGATTGCAATCTGACTTCTATGCACTGGTCTGGAATTTGCTACAGACGAGTAGGGAAAACAAAACAACAAAATAAGCCTGCAGTTTTCAGGCTTGCATGCTTTACCTTGTGAGAAGGGCTCTTTGCCTTCCACCTTTCACACTGGGTTTAGATGCACTCTGTCTTGACCTGTTCCTTTTCCTTCCGAGTTTGGGGGGTATGTGTCCCTGGTTTCCAGACTCTAGAGAATGCCAGCAGCTGGCTATGGTGATTGCTGAATAAGCTGCCACTGATACATGCCTTCTGAGACACAGAGAACCGTCTGGCATGGGTGGCTCTGAACCCCCAATTCAAATTGTTTCAGAGTTGTGTTTTTAAGTGGTAGGGCACACCTATAATCCTAGCATTTGGGAGGTAGAGACAAGAGGATCAGAAGTTTATCTTAGGGAACTAAGACCCTAACGCATACATTTTAAGGTGGCTGGAGAAATGATTCAGTGGTAAAGATACTTGTTCTTTTTTTTTTTTTTTTTTTTTTTTTTGGTTTTTCGAGACAGGGTTTCTCTGTGGTTTTGGAGCCTGTCCTGGAACTAGCTCTTGTAGACCAGGCTGGTCTCGAACTCACAGAGATCCTCCTGCCTCTGCCTCCCGAGTGCTGGGATTAAAGGCGTGCGCCACCACCGCCCGGCCAAGATACTTGTTCTTGCAGAAGACTTTGGGTTCGTTCAGTTCTCAGCACTCACAACAGCTCACAACTGATCATTTCTTTTTAGAGATTCTTTGCATGTTTTATGTTTGTGAGTGCTCTGTGTGCATGTATGCCTGCAGGTCAGAAGATGGGCATTGGATCCCATTATAGATGGATGTGAGCCATAGTGTGGTTCTTGGGAATTGAACTCAGGACCTCTGGAAGAGCAGCCAGTGCTCTTAACCATCTGTCTAGCTCCTATCCCAACTGTTCATGACTCCAGTGAAATCTGATGCCTTCTGTGGGCACAAGGATGCACGTGGTGCAGACATACATGCAAGCAAATACTCATGCCTAAAATAAAATAAATATAAAAATAATAAAACTTTTTTTTAAAGTATTTGTGTGAGGGTTGGTTTGAGAGGTGGTCTTGCCGTTAAACTGGCTTGGAACTTAAGATTCTTCTGATTCCACTTCCTGACTGAGGAAATTATAGGTGTGAGCTAGCATGTGTCTCAGGTGCACGTCTCTGTGGTGGTCCTGTGACTGGAAAGGGGATGAATGCATAGGTGCATGAGTTCTGTCGATAGCAGTAGCTGGAATGGGCGTGTTGGTGTCTTACATCTTTAACTATGGTTCTTCTGCTCTCCTTGTCCTTAGCAGGCGTGTGTTAGGTGTCTGCTGTATACTATATGTGAACGTTCAGTTTGCTGAGCTGGGGGTGAGATTGATAGAGACCTTAGGAGTTAACTTAACTGTTGAATTGCACCAGGCATTGTTTTAGGACACAAGGCTGCAGGGCTTCTGGGTTTACTAAAAGGGAGCTTGAAGCAATCAAAGAACCACATGACCTTAATTGGCTTCTAAGATCACTCTGGCTGTTTTGTGGAGAACAGGCTAAGGGGTTAGGGAAGATGCAGGAATGAGATATCACCTCATTGCAGGTGACCTTGTGGCACAGCTCTCCTTGGTGGGCTGCAGAGCGGTGCAGAGCTTCCCCACATGCCCAGCTCAGTATGCAGTTGTGTGGACAGGGCACATTGCAGCAGCTCAGAGTAGAAGAGATAGGTTCTTCCATTGCAGTCGTTCTTGCTGATTTCCTTCCTCGTCTACGTTAGTGTGGAAGGAAATCGAATTACAGTTGCAGGCAGGGAAGGAACTGCTCTTGACTAGAGCAGAGTGTAAGTAAACCTTGGGAACCTAGCAAGCCTGAGCCTCGGCAGGAGTCACAGAGAGCCACTCCTCATTCCACTCTCTTCTGCCCTCTTCAGAAGTCTGGGTAAGGTTGGTGGAGGGAGAGGCACAGATGGGTTTGTGGTGCTTTGGGTGAACATCAGAACTGAAATTACTTTAGAAGTCACCAGGTAGAACGGTCTCTATTTTTAGGTTCAGATCTGCAAAGATGAAGTAAGCAACCTCCTTAGAGTCCCTGCTGTAGGTTACTGGTGTAGCAAGGCCCCTGCGTGTCTCCTGCTTTGTCTCTGTTCTCAGAAGTTCAGTCTGTGTGAGTTGCCTTGGTATTTATTCGTTGTCCCTACCTGGTGCTCGACCAGCAGTGAATGAACTCCAGCTGTGACTTGGCAATGTCTGTGAATCTCAAGTCCTTAGAAGCAAATGATGGTAAGGCGTTTCTATTTCCTTCGTCTAGGATCAAGCTCTCCATACCGAGAACCAGGCTAAAACCAGACCACCACTGTCCCTCTCTGGGTCTCACTGACCTCAGAAAGCAGCTCCTGTAACCATGGGTAATATCTTTGGGAACCTCCTGAAGAGCCTGATTGGGAAGAAGGAGATGCGCATCCTGATGGTGGGCCTGGACGCTGCCGGGAAGACTACCATCCTGTACAAGCTGAAGCTGGGGGAGATTGTCACCACCATCCCCACCATCGGTAAGGGCTGAGGGAAGGCTGGAGGCCTGCTCAGGGATCTCCCCAGGCAAGTCCACACACCTCATGGGCTTCAGAGAGAGAGTGTCTGTTTAACTTACTGGCAGGTGCTGGAGCTGCCGTTTGCCCACCTGCCCTGGCCCTCCCTGATGCGGGAACTTCCGCAGCCTGGCACTCAACTGTTGCCCTCAGGCATTAGAGTTGGTTTGTTCTCTGTGATGTTTGGAAAGCAGGTGAAGGGCTTTGATGTTCCTGCCAGAGGCCTGGAATTGCTTTGGTTTAGATCTTCAGTGGCGATCTTGGATAAGACCTGCCTGCTCAGAGGAGAACATTTGCTACAAACATGGGGCTGTGGTCATCATCCTGAGGCTTGGGGCTCCAGCACTGTAGCTCATGTCTCATTCTTTTCTCCGCCTCTCAGCCCCACAACTTAGCTTAGATACATTTTAGTGATAAAAGGACAGAATAGAGTTGTGAAGGTTGACTTATATTGCCCAGGCAGCAGTGACCCTTCTCATCAGACATCATTGTTTTTGATTTCTTAGATTTTCCTTCGTGTGTGTGTGTGTGTGTGTGTAACATATATACTTATTTCTATGTGTGTGTTTAGGTCTTGCCTGTATGTATGTATGCACCATATACGTGCATGCCTAGTGTCCATGACACATAAAAGAGGGAATCAGATCCCCTGGAACCGGAGTTTGGGATGATTGTGAGCAGTACTCTGGGTACTAGGAATTGAGCTCTAACCTTCTTTAAGAACAGGTGCTTTTAACCACTGAGCCATCTTCCAGCTCCTTTAGATTTTCTTTTAGGCTACCTAGGTCAAGGATTGCCAGGTCCTAGGACCTTACGCTTTCTTTTGTTGGTGTCTTGTCCAAAGCTGAGAAGAAAGAAATGGAAGGAAACTCACTGGGTGGTCACTATTTATAAGTCTGGGGTTAGAGGCCGGTGGCTATTGACATTTTCTCTCCCAAAGGGTTTAATGTGGAAACAGTGGAATATAAGAATATCAGCTTCACAGTATGGGACGTAGGTGGCCAGGACAAGATTCGGCCTCTCTGGAGACACTATTTCCAGAACACCCAAGGTATGGCAGACTAACTTCCTGAGGTTGGCATTGCTTTGCTGGGTTTGTGCAGTGTTGTGGGTAGCCAGCCCTTGCCCTGGATGCAGCTCCTGGAAGTGGAGAAAGGGGAACGTGTTTGGTGGGTGTGGTGATGGGGAAGGAGACATTTGTTACCTCTGTGTGTTCCGTGCTCTCTCTGCTTCTCTAGGCTTGATATTTGTGGTTGACAGCAATGATCGGGAACGAGTAAACGAGGCCCGAGAGGAGCTGATGAGGATGCTGGCAGAGGATGAGCTCCGGGATGCTGTGCTCCTTGTGTTTGCAAACAAACAGGTGAGCTGTCTCCTTTTTCCTAATTTGGGAGAGAGCAACCTGACTATAGGAATTGTGGAGCCTTGGGGTTCATTGTACAGAAAGGCCCGTGACTGCTGATGTCAATTTGGTAATGTGGGAAATACAAGCAGTTGCCCCTTCCCCTGTCCGGCCCGTGACTGCTGATGTCAATTTGGTAATGTGGGAAATACAAGCAGTTGCCCCTTCCCCTGTCCAGCCCAGGTGTATTCAGCAGCATGTAATGTGGCAGATAATAGATAAATCCCTTGAGGATTTTTATCTTCCCTGCCGTGCACTGTAGTGGACTTAACTTTTGGCCTCCTGAATCACACGTTTATCACCCTCCTCATGGAATAGCTGTCTACTTCACTGGGTCTGGAGTTCTGGGACTGTGAGGCCTGGAGTAGTTCCTTCAGCTCTTGAGATGAAGGAGAAGGTGGCCACATATGTGCCTTTGTTAAATGGGTTCTCTGGAAAACTTGGCAAGATTCTAAGGTGTCTTGTGTGTGTGTCTCCCTTGCACCGCAGGATTTGCCGAATGCTATGAATGCTGCTGAAATCACAGACAAGCTGGGGCTGCATTCTCTGCGTCACCGCAATTGGTACATCCAGGCCACCTGTGCTACCAGCGGGGACGGGCTCTATGAAGGATTGGACTGGCTGGCCAATCAGCTCAAAAACAAGAAGTGAGAGCCAGGCAGCCCTATCTGACTACCCCACCCACTCCTGACACGTACCCGTTGTCTCCCTACTCCTATCTCCCCCTTCCTTCCTCTTGAAAGTGTGGCCAAGGTCCTGGGTATCATGTCTACATGCCCAGCAAGAGCCTTGCCTCCTGTGCCTCCCTTCCTCCTTCCCTGTCCACTGACATGGTCGGTCCCCAACTGCTGTCCTGATGATGAATCATTCCAATTTACTGGATTTAAAACAAATGAGGCTGTTATGGTTTCATGGGGTGGTCTCCCTCTTGGGTTTCAGGAGAAAGAGTGGGGTGTTCTCTATGTTTGCTGTTTGGCACTGGTTGCTGTGCTCTTGGCCTCTGAGCCCCTTCCCTGTCTCCATGGCCACTCTCCTCCCTGTCTTCCTTTCCTTCTACCCCCTCTCCTGTTCTACATGGAAATTGCACGGGCCTCTCTGTGTGTGCGTGCATGTGTGCGCCTGTATATACATGTATAGAGAGATATATATGTCGGGGTTGGGGGGGAGGGAGTGGAGTGCAGCTCAGGGCTTGCAGCCAGGACACTGCCCAGTGGAGCCTGTCATCTGCCCCTTCTGTGTTGGTGAGATAAAGGGGAGATGTGGGTGGGTCCCATTGCTTTCCTCTCTGCAGGTGGTGTTCCTGGATGTTAGACAGATGGCGGACTCTACAACCGTCTTCCTTATATTTTTTTCTCCACCCTTGTGAGCGCAGGAAATGGCATTTATCTCTAGATGACTGTTCCTAAGGAGATGCCATGCTACGCTGTCTCGTTGGTAGGGAGGAGAGAGGAACCCACTCACTTTGATCAGTCCAGAGTGTTCTATTGGTCCTCCTCCGTCATAAGAGCTCAGAGGGAGATGGGTTAGTGGGGCCTGCATGCTGAGGGGTGGAGTGTAGTCTGTTTTCCATCTTGTTCTTGTTACTAGGAAAAGGTAAGACATGAGACAGTCCTGCTCCTGCTCCTTCCTCAGGCTTCTGATCTTTGGGACTGGGGCTCCATCTGTCCTTTGTTAGATTTTCTCACCTAGTCAGCTGACATGCTGAGGACTGACCAGGTGGGATAACAAGGGGCTGTGGAGTAGGGGTGACATAGCAGACCTCAGTATCAACCCCTCTGCTCCAGTCTCTTTCTAGTGCAGGACCAGCTAGAAGATGAGTTTCTGCTCTTGGCAGGCCTCAGACTCTCCTTGTCTGCCCTGTCCACCTCCTTCCTGGCGGCTTTCCTCAACCTTCACACTTCCCTGAATAGGTTCGGGGAGTTGGAGTGGAGGAGACAGGACCCTATGTGGCTGGTGCTGGGACCTCCCTGCGTCAGTCTTTGGTTGTTCAGATGCTGCTGCTGCAGGTCTGTAAGAGGGTACTTATTCCTGAGGCTCTGACCTGGGTCCTGATGGAGTCATTGCAGTGAAGCTGTGGCTGCTCTGTGGGCTCCTGTGTGTGCTGGCTGCGCCCTGAGCTCCAAACCAGCTGCCCATCAGCTCTCTGCTGAGGTCAGGACCCCGGGCCTTCTCCAGGAGGGCAGTTGTGAGCACCCCTCCGGCCAGGTCTCCTGCTGGCTTTGTCTTTGGCAGGCAGATGGGTTCCCCAGCTTAGCCCCGCTGAACTGTGAGACGTCCAGGGGTGTCCCTCAGTGCACTTAGTGCTGTTACTAAACCCCAGATGCCACGTGGGTGTGTACTCTAGACCGTGTGCGTGTGTTTGTGTGTGTGTGTGGTGTTTGATGTGTACATGGGGGGGGGGGGCTGGGGGTTCTGTTTCATTTTAAAGTGGGTTCATTACTGTCACTCGACACTACCCTCCACACTTTCTTGTCTGTTTCCTGATTTTTTTTCCCACCTTGGTTGCCGCTCTGTGACCTCTGCTTTGCTTCACCGTTCATTCACCGTTGCTGCTGCCTGTTTGTTTTTCTTTTCCTTGATTTCGTCTTCTACTTGATTTTCTACTCTTTGTGATTGGTGAGGACTTTGCCTCCTTCTCTGCCACGCCCTCTGGCCTTCCCTGCTTAGATGCTAGTTCCAAGTAGGTTTTGTACATTGCTTGGTCCACTCCTCCACCCCCTACCCCAGCATCTGTTTTTCTCAGCCTCCTGGGACAAACCTGAGGCTGAGCAGGCTGAAGCAGCCTATGATGTTGCCTTGGTGCTGCTCCAGATATGTCCAGCAGGGGGCAGTAACATCTTGTAACATCTCTGGCTCCAGGGGGAAGTAGAGGCTTTCTACATTCCCATTCACCTGACATCTTTGGGGATGGGGTTCCATTCCATTTCTGTAAACTCCCTCTCCTGCTTTTCTCAAGTTGGTTTAATTTTTGATCTTCGTTGTTCCAGCTTTCTTCCTGGGGATTCCCCTTCCCTCCACCTCCAGCGTTTGTGGTGTTACAGTGATATCTACAGTTCGAAAGTGGGTTTTTCTTTTTCCTTTCTCTGGAATGTAGACTGTGTATGGTTAACAACTCACCTTCTCTATCCTTGCTCAAAAATGTGGGCTAATGCAATGGCTGTGACCCTGGTTGGAAATTAAACTTGTCTCATGCAGCTCTGGAGGAGCCCTTCGTGCTGTGCAGCAGCCACGCGGCAGCGGGGACATCTGTTTCCGTCCCCTTCCACACTGTTCTCTCTCTGCAGAGGTGGGAGGACGTGCTTCAGTGGGTGGAGAATAAGTCACGGAGGAACTTAGGTTTATTGGGAACACTGATTGTGAGTCCTTCTTCCCGTCACACCCAGAAGGAAATGCAGTGAGTCAGGCAGCAGAGCATGAGCTGGGACGGATAGCCTTGTGAAGTGCATGCTCCTGAGTGGGCTGTGTCACCACCTGTTGACAGACCGCAGGGCAGCGTCTCTCAGCCTATGGGGGTCGAGTGATCCTTTCACAGGGGCTGAGTATCTGATACCCTGCTTAAATATTTATATCATGATTCATTACAGTTATGAAGTAGCAACAAAAATAATTTTTATGGTTGGGGGTCACCACAACTTGAGGGACTGTATTAAAGGACCGTGGCTTTAGGAGGGGTGAGAAGCATTGCTTTAGAGACTAAAGCAATTGAAGGGCCCTGAACATGGAGGGCCCCTTATTTCTTTTAAGTTACTCTTTCCAGCCCTGAAGATTAGGTGACTGTAGTCTGATTATGGCCACCCCGTGCTTAGACTGGCTTCTTATCACCCATCTAGACCTGGATTTGGGAAGTGAGTAAGCACAGGGCAAACATCTGGGCGGTGTAAACATGGTCTGTTTCTCAATGCAGCGGCACTGCACAGCTGTGCCTGGGGTGTGTGGTTTCCCATCCCCAGTGCTGAGCTCATCCAGAAACCCCACAGATGTTGTGAGGGAAGCACCTTTCCCATGAAGCTTACACTCCCTTCCTTCCACTTCTCTTTCCTCCACTGCTGTCACTGGCCAACTCCACACAGAACAGGGACGGTGAGCAGGGGTGCCTCTCCCACTTGCTCCTTGCTTCAGTACTGACTTTGAGTCCCACATACTATGAAGTTTTAAATGTATACTCAGTTTCTTCTCCATTTCTCTACTTGCTAGTTTTCCTTCCAGCCTTTCTCTTGTTGCTGAGTCATCACCCTCAAGAATCAGTGCTTTTTGCCTATGTCTCTGGCTTCCAAACCACCGAGCTACACAACCCTTCACCAACCCTGTGTCTTTAAGCATTGCTTACTTTCCTTCCTCCAGGCTCCCTCAGCTCGTAAGTTAGGAACATCTTTCTCAAGTGCTTGTTTATTTATTAATAAATAGATCACTTTCTGAACTGCATTTTCTTTTCCTTTTTTATTTTGGTTTTTGAGACAGGGTTTCTCTGTAACCTTGGCTTTCCTGGAAACTTACTCTGTAGGTCAGACTGGCCTAAAACTCACAGAGAGCCACCTGTCTCTGTCTCCTGAGTGCTGGGATTAAAATCATGGTCACCACAGTGTGGCTTGCTGACTTCATATTTGTAACCCTCCTCCTGCCTTTGTCCCCCAACGGCTGGATTCCCGGCGTGTGCCTGTGAGCCTAGCCTCAGCGGTAATTTTTCATAGGACAGTAATAATAGAAGCTGGGTGTGGGGGTGCTTGCCTGTAGTCCCAGCACGCAGAAAGCAGAGGGAGGAGGATCTCTGAAAGTTTGAGGCCAGCCTGGTCTATGTTTGTCTTGTCCCCCCTCTCCTCCCTCAAAAAAGTAAATACTAAAAAGCAGTTCAGTTGAACGACATACTTGGTGATACCAGAAAAACTTGGAGAAGCGGGTTCTTTCCTGTCCCGTAATCACTCAGACTCAAGGGAGGTAGAGGAGCCCTCTTGCTCTTGCCCAACCTATCAGCTCTGAGGGGATACAGGGTGAGGGGAGGGAACCTCAGGGCAAATAGTCTCCCATGGCTTGTATGTTCATAATCTGGCAAAGGACCCAGACCCAAGTGATACTACCTCAGCTTCCAAAATGAATTTGGAGGAATGGGCTTAGACCAGCCTGGGTGGGGTGAAAGGCAGAGCTGTCCCCTTCACAGGGATGTGTTTCTTATCCTTGTGGTGTAGTGCCTGAAGTTTGTGGGGGCTGCTGCATCTACCTCCAGTTCCAGCACACACGTTCAGTTAGATTAGAGAGTGAGCAGAAATGTATTCCTTTCTGTGTTACTGTGTTTGTTTAAGATGAGTTAAACCACTGTATTCAGGGGAGCTGGACGTCTACTTGAGGAAGCTCTGGAATCTTTTGAAATCTAGGGACTGGCCAAGGAGGATGCCCCTCCTTTCCTGCTGGTCAGCACAGGGCAGGCTGTCATAGCACTGAGCACCGTCTTTGGTTCCCTCTCTAACACGGTAGCTGGAGAGGTCACTGGTCACTGGGGAATGGCAGGAGCCAAATACTTTCCTTCCTCCGCAGTTTTTCTAACTGGGTTTCCTGACCCTAATTGCTGGAAGGGGTGAGAATGACCCTGAGTTCATGAGAGGTGCAGAGAGGGGTAGGGCCAAGGAAGTGGAAACCTTAAGCATGGTAAGGGCAGTGGGGGTCTGGATGGTCGCCTGGGAAAGCTGGAAGGTAAGTGCTTGTGTGTGTCGCCCTGGGCTTCTAAGCTGGGTGAGAGTGGAAGGGACGCCAAAGGTGAAACGGCTGTACTCTGTGTGTGGACCGAGCTTCCTCCCACTCAGCCCTCATAGGCCCCCTTCCTGAGAGCTAGCTGGTAGGACAGGCAGAAGGTTTTGAACTGCTTTTACCTGTGCCCCTCCCCCCACTCCGTTGTGTTTATTTTGGACAGAGCTGGGTGTAGTTTACTGATTGGTCAGTTGCTTAGCGGCCCTGGATTTAATCCCTGGTGCTGCAGACGATCAACAACCATCTTGGCAAGGACTGTCCTAGGTCAGGGTCGAATACAGGCACTTAAGGGTTAGAAGGCTGAGCTTGTGGGTAGAAATTTACTCTGGTTTCCAAATGCAGCATAAACGACCGTACTGCTACAGGTTGCAGGTAAGGGGGAATACGTGTTCTGACTTGGCCATCCTTGCATGGATGGGGGATGGAGAGTGCTCCACAGGGTCTGGGTGCTGACCATCACTCTTGGATGGTGCTGTGTATAAACCGTACCTAAAGGGCCAGTAGAGCATGCGCTTCGGAGGTTCCATCCATAGCACCAGAAAAAACAACACAGTAAGGATGTGATTCAGTCCCCAGTGTCAGAGGGGCTGTGGGAAGCAGTGCCCTGCTTACACCTGGCTGCTGTGTGGGTGAACTGAATGCCCAGCAGCAGAGGGCATTGTGGGAAGCAGTACCCTGCTTACACCTGGCTGTGGTGTGGGTGAACTGAATGCCCAGCAGCAGAGGGAATTGTGGGAAGCAGTGCCCCGCTTACACCTGGCTGCCGTGTGGGTGAGCAGACTCTGGACACTTCAAGGCTCAGGCATTTCCCGGTGTGGTTTTCCACTAGGCAGCTTTCCTGCCTTTCTCAGAATTACAATTCAAGTTCCTTCTCAGTCCAACGGAAGTGATTCTTCCCTGACCCTTCCTGGGGTGTTTGATTAAGTTGCCCTCAGTGGAGTATTTTTTTTTTGGGGGGGGGGGTGCAGGTGGCAGGGTCTCATTCTTGGGCCTGCTGGCCTGGAACTTGATCCATAGAGTGTTTGTCTCTGCCAGTCTCTTCAGAGATTCAAGGTGCATCACCTGTCCAAGCCCCTCAGTGGGCTACTGCCTTCGCTCCCCCTCCCCACCTCCCTCCAACCCTGTGCCTTACAGAGCCTTAGCACCTAGACAGCCTGTGTGCCACTGCCCAGTGCTGTGCCGGACAGCTGTGCTCAGACACTGAGCCTTCCCACTGTCTTCCACACTCAAGGTTCTCCTACTTTCCCTCCACTTGCCTGTCTACTTGGCTTTAGCTCCCCTGGCCGGTGCATTCCCTCCAGACATCCGGCCCTTTGCCTTTAACCCACTTTTCTCACTTAGAAATCCATATTAGGGGGCTAGGGACATAGTTCAGGTGGTACAGTGCTTGCTTGTTATATCCTACCTTACCCTAGATTAAACACTTGGTATAATCTTAGTACTTACAGGTGACAGCAAGAGGAGCTGGAGTTCAAGGTCAGCCTTGGTTTCCTAACAGTTTGAGTCCAACCTGGGCTCCAAAAAACAACCTGAGACTCTTAAAAAGCAAAACAAGTACTACTTTATGATTTGGCTCAAGTCTCACTACAGAGTTCATGACCTTTCCAGGGTCTTTTTTAGTCTTCTACCAGGGCTCCATTGGCTTTGGTAGCAGTCATGAAATAGCATCTACAGGCTCTTAAATCAGCAGTTCTCAACCTGTGGGTTGTGGTAACTGCATATCAGATATTAAAGTTAGGAAGTAGCAATGAAATGATTTTATGGTCCGAGTCACACAATATGAGGAGCTGTGTTAAAGGTTGCAGCATCAGGAAGCATGATAACCACCATCTTACAGTGATTCAGATCCTGTTCACTTGTGTATTTTATTCTTATAACCAAGCAGTTCTTATTGTCAGTGGTCTAGATAGTACGTGAGCATGCACAGATATTGGGCATACATTTGGTAGGACAGCATGTTGTACCTGTTTCTTCACTCTTCCCACTCCCATCAAAAAGCCTACCCATCTTCAACCATTTTTTGGTGCATCCTTTGGGTTCCTTTTATTTTTATTTTTTAAGAGGCAGAGTCTCAGCCAGGTGGGGCAGCATATGGCTTTTCAATTCCAGCACTCAAGAGGCAGAGGCAGGCAGGACCACATAGCCTGTCTCACAGCAGAAACCCTAGCACTGCCGGCACTGCCTCTTGGCAGGGTGCAGATCCACAGTGAATGGCTCACACTCCCGCTCAAAATGGGGGCAGGGCGGCAAAGGGAAATGGAAGGAGGGTCTTGTGTGTCCCAGCTGGCCTGTGAACTCAGGTAGCTGAGGGTGACTTGGACTTCTAAACCTGCCTCCTCCTCCCAAGTGCTGGCATTACAGCTGTATGCCTGCCATCAAGCCCAGTGACTGCAATGCTGTTGAACCCAGGGTTTTGTGCATACCAACGAAACACTACTGAGCTGCAGCCCCAGCTCAGCCCTTGCTCTTTTTCTAAACGTGCACATATTTGGGGAGGAGTTAAAATACGAGTTCACATCACATGTGCTGTTTTACTTTGTAAATTGAAGCTTATATATTTGTCTTAGGAATTTTCAAAGTATAGTTAGAGATTTCAATGATTTTTCATCTAATAGTTCAACAATTTATTAAAAATAAAACATTTGGCTAGGTGTGGTTTGAATGCTTGTAATGCCAGCCTTTGGGAGGTAGAGGGACTGGAGTTCAAGGCTGAGCTGGTGAGATGCCAGACCACCTGAGTTCTGCATGGGACCTGATGCAGTGGAACAGTGCTCCCTCCCCAGGTTGTCTTCTGACGCCACACATACCGTGGCACCCACCTTTGTGTAAACACATGGCGCGAGTACTTCTCCATACGTGCGTGACACATGCCTGCCTGTGAACACGTGCTGGAAATAAATGGATTTTTAAAAGGGGGTTTAAGGCAACTTTGCTTTGACGCCAGGTTACAAGAAACGGTTTGAAAAGTCGAATAAAAAGCTTGTCCAGTGTCATGCAGCTGGTACGTAGGGGCTCTAGGCATGTCCTACTTTGTCCTTGTCATCTGTGTGCTGGCTCCTCGACGGAAACGAGAGAGAAGTCGTGCACAATAACTACATGGGAGAACACTTAAGACGCTTAACTAGGAGAGTTAGGACTTGGAAAGAGCTGACATCCTGGAGGGCCTAGAACAGGTAAGGGGGGCACCGAGCTGAGAACACACACAGAGTAGACTTGTCTGAAGCCAGACCATAGTCCAGAAGCAGGGAAATCTGATAAGGTTTAATATGCATTTATGTGTCAGGCAGGTTGTTCGAGGAGAACCGGCAGAAAGGGCAGGTTGTTGGAGGAGAGCCTTCAGAAAGGGCAGGGCAGGAAGGGCAGGTAGTTCCAAATACGAGGAAGTGTGTGTTGGCTGAGGGGCTTGCCACACAGGTGCAGTTGTGTCTAATACCAGTGCTAAAGAGAACCATGAACCAAGAACCGGCCTGAGCATGGTATGGAACGACCCCACGACAGCCTTTTGAATGACTGGGATCTAGGTACCACAGCTTAAGTTTTCAGGAAGGGTTTGAATCATGAAAAGGGAAACTGGTAAGACCGCCTAAAATTACTAGAACCCCTTCTAAAAACTGAAGCCCTTGCACAAACACAAGACGGCAGCACGGTGCTGTTGTGGAAAGGGTGTTGAGGGAAAATAGGAAGGAAAAGGTCAGTGACTCCAGGACAGAGGCTTTCTGAACGCAACCGAGGGCAGAACAACCAGGAGAGGTGAAGAGTTGGCTGTCTTGGACACCTGCCTCTGCCAGCTTAGTGGGAGGGAACATATCTTAGAAGAACAGAGAACAAACGCAGTCTTGTGCTTGAATCCTGTCGGTCACCAGTTGGCATGATGACCTCCTTGGGCAGGTTCCTTAGCTGTAAAATGGGAATAATTGTGCCTCCCGTGATTCGAAGGTTAGAGACTAACGCCCCCTTTACAGTGGGTAATGAAATGGCAAATAGGTGCTATCACATGACCCTCGTCATGGGACGGAAAGGCCAACAGATGGGTCAGAATTCGCAACCTCGGATCACAGCGCACGGAATGCTGGCTTCTTCTCTCTAGGAGGTGGGGACAAGCAGGGGGAGGAGGAGCTCGCTCCTTGCGACCCGCCCATACCAGTCTGGCCTGGAGCTGAGGTATCCTGGTCGCCTGCACGCGTACAGCCTGTCCTGGTGCCCCGGTACCCCAACCAGGTCTGGTCATGTCCCTGCGCCCCTTGATCTGGCCGCTCCAGCTGCTGCTGCTGCTGCTCAATGGGTCGGTGTGCCAAGCTGAGGCTGGGCCAGAAACCGAAAGTCCTGTCCGGACCCTCCAAGTGGAGACCCTGGTGAGGAGACTGCGGCGCCACCCCCCAAACCCTCCCTCTCCCCCCCCTTCCCCGCCACCCTTCAAGGCTAAGGGATTGTGGGGGAGCATGGGGGGGCTCTACATGAACCTGTGAACGAAGAGGAGAAGAAGTGATGGAACTGAATTGGGGGAGAAGGTGCTGGGTCTCGATGTGGTAACAGGGTTTTAGGAGGAGCAGCTTTGACCCTTGTAGTCCGATCATAGGTACAGCCCCCTGAATCGTGTACAGAATCCGCTGCCGTTGGAGACACACTCCACATCCACTACACGGTGAGGGGCCTGGGGGGCCGGGGCGTGGTCTGGGAGGGGGCGGTGCCCGAATGAAACACGTCAGCTTTGGCTTGGACACGTGGCAAGCTGTGCGAGAGAACTTAGGGTCCCCTAGCACGTGGGGGCGGGAGTGGAAGGTGCCCTTGCCTGCTTCTTTCTCTTCCCTGTTTTCCCGCCAGTTACTTTCCAGCTCTGAGAAGTGAAGGGTGGAGAGACCTCCAAGAAGTGTCGGCCCTTCCGGGCTTCCTCTTCCTTTTTGCTCCATGAGGGTGGGGGTGGGAAGGGGGACAGGATGCAAAGCAGTTACGAGGGTTGCCGCCGTCCCAGCAGGCGGTCCCACTGTGTGTGGCCTGCTGGGAGGAAAGACGGGTCAGTTCTTGCTCTTTGTCTTTAGGGCAGCTTGGTAGACGGACGCATTATTGATACCTCCCTGTCTAGAGATCCTCTGGTGATAGAACTTGGCCAAAGGCAGGTGATTCCAGGTATGTCACCTGCGCCTTTGCTTTCTAACCTAAGCCCTTGCTTAGTGTCTTGAACGGCGGAGGTAAGCTGGAAAGGATCCTAGAATGAGTAAGACCCTAAGGATCTTCAGCTACCTTGGGTTCAAATTCTCTTCTTGACCTACACATCACTGGGGGCTAACAGTTTAAGAAGTGGAGTAAAGCTCGCTTGAGGAAGGGTGATGGGGTGTCTTTGATTTTCTTCTTGGGTGGTGTGTAGCCTCTAGTTCAGTTGCGTCTTCTTCCTCAAGGTCTGGAGCAGAGCCTTCTGGACATGTGTGTGGGGTGAGTATCTGGACAGGGGCGGGCCTGAATGCCCCTTTCTCTGCCATCCCACGTCTCCAGGAGGAGGACATTATGGAATAAAGGGGCCCTGACTTCACACTGGACCCCTGAGGGCACCTGTCAGGTTTTGGGGGGAACGGAGTTGTATAGGGTGATTGGTACCTTTACTGGTCAACCTGTTAGGTGGAAAAATTCACATTTTGATGCCACTATCTGAGGTGGGAGGAGCTTCTGGTGGTTCTGGGCCAAGGTTGCCAGCTCACCTCTCCTGCCTGCGGCTCGTTCCTTCCCTCAGAGAGAAGCGAAGAGCAGTCATCCCTTCTCACTTGGCCTATGGAAAGCGAGGGTACCCGCCAACCATCCCAGGTAATTGAGTAGGTCTTTTCTCCCGGCCGTCAAGACGGAGCCCCAAGAGCCACGTGCACTGCTCTGTCTAGAACTTGAGAAAGTCCAGATCAAATTTGAGGAAAGAAGTAGCTAGGACCCTCTCCTTCTGACCCACCCGATCTCTCCAATAGAGACTACAGACAACCTGTTAGGGCCACCTGGCTTGACCTTAGGCAGCTGGTGACCTTTGGCACCTTTTGAGCCACGTGGGTCTTGCTGCCCAGAACACTAAAACCCAAAACAAACCAAAGGGTGACCTTCAGGGCCCTCACGTAGAGCGGGTAAGGAGGTGGCCCTGGTGGCTGGTTCCTAGAACTCACCTTCAGGTACTACTACTGATACCTGTTCTGAAGGGCAGAGATCGGACAGATTTTCCGATAGGTACCTCTTGCTTTGCATTGGAACACGTGCTCCACTAGGTAAAATGTGATCTGCTCCACAGAATGCAGAGGCAGGTAGATCTCCGTGGGTTTGAGCCCCAGCCTGGTCTACATAGTGAATTCCAGGACAACTGAGGCTACAGAGTGAGATCCAGTCTCAAAAATAAAACACATCAAAAAAAAAATTAGCAAAACTCTCCTCACTCCCACGCTGCTTGTTTGCTTCACCTGAAACTTTCCGACTCCTGTCCCCCTCAAACGCGTCCCTCCTGTTTCCAGCCCTTCTTTGACACTCCTCTAAGAATCGTATTGTATGTGCTCATCAGTGGCTGGGAGTTTTAAGGACATTTGCTTTTATTCCAGTTAATTATAGCTCTGCAAAACCCTATCCATGTGGCTATCTGGAAATGGGATCCATTTGGTACAGAGGAGTCTCAACACATGTAAATGCTCACTTGTGGGGCCAGACAGACGCTCAGCCGTTAAGAGTGCTGGCTGCACTTGAGGACCCAGGTTCAGTTTCCAGCACCCATGTGGTGGCTCACTTAATCTGTAGTAGTTCCCCGGGAAAGTGACCCCCTCTCCTTATGCTACATGGTGCACAGACATACATCAGGCAAGCTACTCATATCCATAAAATAAAATCTTTAAATAACAAAATAATGCTCACTTGTAAATGTGAAAGAACCTGCAAGTTTCCCATGCACAGATTTCCTGTGCTGTCATTGAGTCCGAGCCACGTGTTTAGTTGTAGTTAAGGTCAACATGAGTGTCCTCAGCCTGCTCCTAGCCCTCTTCTACCTTTTCTGAGGGAGCCCAGCCCCACATTTCAGATTGCCAGAATCAGTTATTTTCCACAGCCTACCCTGATTTAATCCCAATTCAGAGCTCTGGATACATCACAGCAATTTTCCACACCCTCCCTGCCTCTCCAGTGGATGCAGTGGTGCAGCTTCCAACCCCTTCTCCCCCACCCTCTGCCTCTCCAGCGGATGCAGTGGTGCAGCTTCCAACCCCTTCCCCCACCCTCTGCCTCTCCAGCGGATGCAGTGGTGCAGCTTCCAACCCCTTCCCCACCTCCTTCTTCCCCAGTGCATGCAGTGGTGCAGCTTCCAACCCCTCCCCCCACCCTCTGCCTCTCCAGTAGATGCAGTGGTGCAGCTTCCAACCCCTTCCCCACCTCCTTCTTCCCCAGTGGATGCAGTGATGCAGCTTCCAACCCCTCCCCCCACCCTCTGCCTCTCCAGCAGATGCAGTGGTGCAGCTTCCAACCCCTCCCCCACCCCCTTCTTCCCCAGTGCATGCAGTGGTGCAGTTTCTAATACCCCCTCCTCTGCCTCTCCAGCGGATGCAGTGGTCCAGTTTGATGTGGAGCTGATTGCATTGTTTCCAGCCAACTACTGGCAAAAGCTGCTGAAGCGCTTTTTGCCTCTGGTAGGCATAGCTATGGTGCCGGCACTCCTGGGTCTGATCGGGTATCACCTATACAGAAAGGCCAGCAGACCCAAAGTCTCCAAAAAGAAGCTGAAAGAAGAGAAACGAAACAAGAGTAAAAAGAAATAAAGTGATCTTTAACAAAACTTTGTATTCTTCGCTTGATTCTACTACCCCCTTTTTCTTTACTTTTTACTGTGTGTGTGGGGGGCGGGGGGCTGGAACATGGAGGTCGGACAGCACTGTGAAGTTGGTTCTCTCCTAACTGTAGCTGGGTCCCAGAGACTGAACTGAGCTCATCCAAGTAGAGAAACAAGTGCTTCACCTGTTCAGCCATCTCTGGTGCCCCCTTTTCTTCAAAGATGGGGCCTTGCATTTGTAGCCCAAGTTGGCCTCAGGCTCATGAGCCTCCTGGCTAGGCTGCAACTATGGCTACGCACCAACACTGCTAATCCAGTGCTTCGATGCTGCTTTCTTTCTTTTCTTTTCTTTCTTTTTTTTCTTCAGTTTTTTGAGACAGGGTTTCTCTGTAGCTTTGGAGCCTGTCCTGGAACTAGCTCTTATAGACCAGGCTGGCTTTGAACTCACAGAGCTCCGCCTGCTTCTGGCTCCCGCCTGGTGAGGCTGCTTTCTTGGATAGAAAAAAGAGCACTGTGAAGCTGGATCTTGCCTGTGGTTGAGTAGCTGGAGGCCTTGGAGCACACTTCTTTCTCTGGCCTGTTCTTGCTGTCCTAATTTACCCCAAAAAACTGGTTTTGAATCTGCCTCTGGGTCCCTTGGAGTATATATTTGGCTCCCATGGTGCCATGATGCTGAGGAGGAACCATTTCTAGGCATTCTCTCCCTGGGACCAGAACGTTCCTTGTATCCTTGAATATGGCAAAGATAATAAAGATCTTACAAGGACTGAGAATAAGGCAGTTGGTAGAATGCAAAAAAAACCCTGAGATCAATCCGCAGCACCAATAAAACAGGTGCATGCCTGTAATCCCAGAGGAGGCAAGAGGACCAGATGTTCAAAGTCATCCTCAGCTACATAGGGAGTTTGAGGCCTACATGAGACCCTAATTTTTGTTTTTGTTTTCAAAGGCTCTTATAAATTCTTTTGAAAGAATAATTTGTTAGGGCTGGAGAGATGGCTCAGCAGTTAACCGCACTGGCTGCTCTCCCAGAGGACCCAGGTTCAATTCCCAGCACCCACATGACAGCTCACAACTGTCTGTAACTCAGTTCCAGGGGATCCGACAACCTTCGCACAGATACACATGCAGGAAAAACACCAATGCACATAAAACTAAAAATAAATCATGAAAAAATTGTATTATTTAAAAAAGAATAATTTATTGGTTATACTGCGCGGGATAGTGGCAGTCAATGACTAGAGTACTGTCTGGAGCCTCCATCTAAATTTGTAATACCAAAGCACTCGGGTTTCACAAAAAAAATCTTGGGTTCCTTGGATCACAGGGTACGGGAGACAATGTGGGCAGCTTCGATGACATTGTAGGTGGTTGGAGGGCCTCTCTCGCCTGCCTGGGCAGGTGCGGACAGCTGGGGCAGGTTGCTCCTGTGGTTTACTATGAAGAGCGGGTTGAGCTGGCTCAGCACCTCATCGCTCACGGAGATACTGTCCAGGTACTGTTTGAGCATTTCCCTCAGCTTCCCGCTGATCTCCAGCAGCTGCACGCGTCTGTGCTGCAGGCTCAGCACCTCCAGCTTCACCTTATTGTATCTTTTCCAGAAGTTCTCCATCCCTGAGTAGTCCGCCATAACCTGAGGCAGAGGAGGGAGGGGTGTGGTGGTCCCCTTGAGCAAATGCTGCCCAGCCCCCATGCTCCCCATCCTTTACCTTGGCCAGCTCCTCTGTGACCTCTTCTGGGTTCTGTCTCTCCACTTCCTCCTGCTCCATGGGAGTCAGGGCTGAGGAATAGAAAGGCAGGACTTTTTCTTCCTCTGTTTCAAATTTCCTACAGATTTCAGCAAGTTTAAGGATCTTTTCACCCTGTTGGGAAGGAAGAGGCGCGTTAGGGAAAACAAGATGGATCCCTGCTTGAGTCCAGGAAAGCGGCTCCTGCAGCAGGAAGCCCGCGCCAAGCTCTCTCCCAGCAGTTAACATCCTCACACGGCACAGCTCAGTACCACATCGTCTTCTCTTCAGCTAAGAAAGGTGTTTCCTGGGATGAGGAAACACACATGCGCAGACACACAGAGGGAGATCTTGGGAAGCTGGAGAGCCCCATCTCTTCTGGAAGCCTGGGGGTTGAGAAGCTTTAAAGCGTCTTCCTTCCTTACTTTAGGCTTGGTCAGTTTGAAGTCAAATAGGAGGGTTGGTTGGTCTGCAAATGTGTGAGACGGGTCCTGATCAGGCTTTGAACTTCTTGAGCCAACCCATCAGCAAGGGGCCTGCAGTGTGAGAAAAAAGCTGCCAGGCTTTTCTCTCAGGAGGTTGAGGAAGAAGGGGCCATCTTGAAAACCCACCACCTTTGTTACACAGTGGTAGCTCTTCCTCTCCTATGGGGAGTTTGTCCAACTTCTGGTCTCTCATCACCTGTCTCAAAGGTCACCCTGACTGCTCTTAGGGTGTTTAGGGGTGATGACCACTGCTCTTGGCTGCTTCAAGCTGACAAAAGGTCAAGACTGGGGGCCGGCCTCAGAGGAAGGTCTGTCTAAGGGGCCGCAGTGAAACTTAACCTATGGTGAAGATCCAGAGCATACGACAGCCATTGGGGACAGTGTGTATCTTTGGAGCCTGTCATACGACTGAAAATTAGCATCTTGATGAGTTGGTAGGCCTCGAAAGAAATCTAGAGGTTAGGTCCCCAAATGACACTGTCTTCAGAAGAAATCCAGAGACAAACCCCCAAAATGATGCAGTCTAGAAATAATACAGTCTAGGGGTCCTAATTGGTTCGTTTCCTCTGCTAGTTAAAGAGTTAAAAAGAAGGAAAAACCTGAAAGACATCAGGTAGTATAATATTCAGGGGCCTCGTCCCAGCCCCTGGCATCCATCTTTGGAATACTGGGCAGGAACGCCATTTCAAGCCCCCTCCGCTGGGAGTTGCCTTGGTCTGAACTCCACCTCTGAGAAAGCCTGCCAAGCGGTGACTCCTTCCCAGGGAGGGTCAGGACCACTCCCACAGGCTATTTAGACTGCCCCCCAGAGAATGTACATGTGGTCTCCGGGTTTCGCGTGGTCTCCTCCCACACCTCACCATGCTTTCCCAGTGCCACCCGGGAGCACTGCATTAAACATGGGCATCTTTTATTCAATCTAATTTGGTCTGATTGGAATTATTTGCGTTGGCAGAGAGGCTCATCTAAAAAATATTCCTGGGCTGGAGAGATGGCTCAGTGGTTAAGAGTGGCTGCTCTTCCAGAGGTCCTGAGTTCAATTCCCAGCAACCACATGGTGGCTCACAACCATCTGTAATGAGATCTGGTCTCCTCTTCTGGCCTGCGGGCATACATGGAGGCAGAACATTGTATGCATAATAAATAAAATCTTTAAAAAAAAGAAGAAATATTCCTAACAGGTAGCAGCAGAGAATCTCAGCTCATGGAATCGCAGAGTCACAGACAGAGTCAGCAGTTGGAGGAGAGGAAACCTCATGCATCAGACACGCGGAGAAAAAGACCCTGTGCAAGGCAAAGTGGGACTCGAATCGGGAAGCTGAAACATCCCTGTTCATTTAAAAAAGAGAACGGAGTAGAAAAGAAGGAAGGAAGGAAGGAAAAAAGAAAAGCTAACACAAACATCCACTTAAAGAGGAGGGAGGAGGGAGCCCTGCCCCATCTTTCCTGAATCCCTTTTGCCCCCAGCCAGGTTTCTTGGTTTTGTCCCTTTTACCTTCTCCACGATCTTTTTCAGGTCCTTGAGGGTGGCATTACTTTCCAGGGTGAGTTTGACTAAGTTCTCCTGGGACACTCCCCGAGCCTGCGTCCTTTGGGCTTTCAGTTTTCGCAGCTGTACATGGACCAGCTCCTTGTCATTGCGGATGCACTGGTTCTGCCATTCACTTTCACGGCTGTGGGCTGTGATCTTCCCTTTCAAGATACCTATGGCCTCCTAGAGGGACAGTGGGGACCATTGACAAAGGCAGTTGAAGGACTAAGAGCAGAGTGTCATCTTGACCCAACCAGTGAGAGACCCAAAAGAATTTGGGAAGGCAATGGACAGATGGACACTGAATGGCCTGGCGTCTCCAAGTGAGCACTGACCTGCAGCTTCTGGATTTTTTTCATCTGCATTTCAATCTCTTTGGAGCTTTTCTCGTCCTTCACCTTCAGAGTCTCAAAGGCAATCTTCCGGTCCTCCGTGGCATCGGTATAGTTCTTGAGCGCATCCTGGAACCTTCTCCACAGATCCTCCACTATGTTCTCCAGTTGTAGACGAAGAAAGTGCTTCTCTTCTAAATTCTAGGGAATGTGTCCCAAATACCAAAAGCTTAGAGCTACTCTCTTAGTGCCCGCTCATGCCCACCAGCAGCCTTACCCTCGGGAACTGTTAGGAGCGTTGTTTAGTGAATTACATTCAGAGTGGGGCATTGTGACCCAGACAGGAAAGCATGGGGGTGGGCCCAGCTCCATGAGAATGATGCCAATTAGAAACAGAATGAGGAGCCAGGCAGAAGAGACACATCTCTGTGAGTTCAAGGCCAGCCTGGTCTACAGAGCAAGTTCTAGGGCAGGCTCCAAAGCTATACAGAAACCCTGTCCTGAAAAACAAAACAAAACAAACAAAAACAGAATGAGGCCCAGTGTTCCAAATCTCAACTTCTTTTTTTTTTTTTCTTCTTAAGACAGGGTTTCTCTGTGTAGCCCTGGAACTCTGTAGAACAGGCTGGCCTCAAATTTGAGAGAGATCCTCCTCCTTCTGCCTCCAGAGTGCTGGGATTAAAGACGTGCGATTTATACCACCTGGCTCAGATCTTGTAACTTTTTAAAGCAAAATTGATAGTTTGGATTTTCATGTGAAATCTTTTCAATTTTCACAAGTAGGAAATTATTCAAACTGTAAAGTATATCACTGGCTAAATTAAAAGCAAGGGTTGGGGATGGAGCTTAGAGTAGAATACTTGCCTAGCATCGACTCAGGCTGGATGTGATGGTACATGCCCATTACCGTACTCGGGAGGTGGAGGCAGGAGGATCACAAGTTTAAGGTAAAAGTAAAAGCAGTTCCAGGTCATGCTCCACCACATAGTGAGTTCAAGGTCAGCCTGAGCTAAGGAAGAAGCTGTCTCAAATATAAGTTGATTGATTAAAGTTAAACCAAGAACCCTAAACACAAACTTCTGCATGTCAGCTAGATTTGCAAAGTCTATGATGGAAAGAATTATGGATCAATTTCTACCGACTCAGACTGTGGGATTCAAGCTGGTCATGTGGCTACTGTGGGCCCTTATTTCTTTGTCTATACCTCTCAAAAGGGTGAAGTCAGATGATCTCTCAGTTTTTTTTTTAATTGTTGGTGGTCGTGGTGATGGTTTTTTGCTTTTTTTGTTTGTTTGTTTATTTTGTTCTTTCCCCCTTAAATGCATTCTTAAAATCTTCTAGAACATTCCTGGTTCCCAAGCAGTTTTCACAAGATCACAGAGAAGCACAGGGGACCTCAGTGGCCAGAGACTTTTATTGACCCTTGGCTCTGGAGTGCTCGCCTAGCTCTGACTGCCCTGAGCAGTTCTCGTCCCGGCCCGTCTCTCCGGACCCCGTCCCTCCATCCTCCGCCTGTACCTTGTTTTTCAGATCATCCCACATACTCTGGAACTCTAGCTTGCTCTCATACTCGGAATCGACGTAGTTCTGCTCCATGGCCATGAAGACATCCTGGAGGTAGTGGATCTCTTTCTCATGCTGGTCAATGATTGTCTTCCTACAGGAGATGTGATGGGTATAGCATGAGGTCCAACAATAACAAAGAAACACATAGCTATGAACGGGCAGGGGTGGTGGCACACTCCTTTAGTCCTGGCACTTGGGAGGCAGAGGTGGGCGGATACCTATGAGTTAGAGGGCAGCCTGGTCTACAGAATGTGTTCCAAGCCAGCCAGGGCTACACAGTGAGGCTCTGCCTTAAAATACAAAAAAAACCCAAAAAAACAAAAAACAAAACAAAACAAAAAAAACCCCAAAAAACCAAAAACCCTATAGATGGGACAAACTTGTAGGCACCTGGCATGGAGGGAGGGAAGGTTTTAGTGTATGTTTTCTTTTACTTTCTTTTTTTTTCCAGAAAGAGTAAGAATATTTTAGCCGGGCGGTGGTGGCGCACGCCTTTAATCCCAGCACTTGGGAGGCAGAGGCAGGTGGATCTCTGTGAGTTCGAGACCAGCCTGGTCTACAAGAGCTAGTTCCAGGACAGGCTTCAAAACCACAGAGAAACCCTGTCTCGAAAAACCAAAAAAAAAAAAAAAAAGAATAAGAATATTTTGATTTTTGAGTAGGTAATACTTTCATATGAAACAAAACCAAAAATTTACATAAGTTCACAGTGGAATCTCTCTCCCATCCTTATCTACTGATAGATGGATAGAATTCTGATAGTTGAAATTAGGAGGTACAGACAGGTACCGGCAGAGGTCAAAGAAAGCTAAGACTCTAAGATTAAAGCCAAGTTCATTTCCGAGGAACTCAAGAGCCTCTCTGCCTGGGGTTAGATTAGGGAGGAGGCTCTGGGAACTCCCGGGATCCAGTCTCTGGACTCTCTGGCCCCTTACCGCTCCGTCTCAAACTCTTTCGTCAGGACATCTAGTTCCATGTTGTAGCTTTCCTCCAGGAGGCTGAGTCGGCGTCGCTGCAGGGTCAAGAGCTGGTCAACATTGTGTAAGTGGCTGCGCAGAGCATGGGCGTATTGTTCCTCTGCTTCAGTCAAGTCCTTAGCCAGAGACTAGAGGAGGAAGATAATTACTGTTCTGGCCGAGTGGCATCCCTGAGAAAATACAAATGGATTCGAGGGGCTGGGTCCTCAGCACCCACAAACGAAGTCTGTGGTGGCACCCCTGTAATCCTGGGTTTGGGGGAGTAGACTTAGGAGGCTCCTAGGTCTTGCTGACCAGCCAGCCTACCCAATTTGATAAATGAGCTCCGATCTCAAAATATAAGGTGGAGAGCAAGCAAGGAAGATGCTAGTGACAACCTCTGGCCTGCATGCACACGCACACATGCACGCACGCACACGCACATGCACGCACGCACGCACACTTAGCTATCTGGCTAGGTGGATGGCACAATGGCATTTTCCTCTTATTTCCTAATGGTTTTAGGAATGCTGGCTCTCCCATTCAGTCTTTAAAAAGTAAGATTAATTTATTATTTGTGTATATGCGTGCATGCCTTTCTAAGTTTGTTATGCAGGTGTCCCAAGAGGCCAGAGGCCCTCGGATTTCCTGGAATGAGAGCTACAAGCAGTTGTGAGTTGCCTAATGTGAGCACTAGAACTCGTACCCAGGTCCTCTGAAAGAACTGCAAGAGCCATCTCTCCAGACCTTTCCACTTAGTCTATGATGCAAACCAAGAGTGACCTCTAGAAGTGTAGGAACCAGTCCTAGCGGTACATGCCTTTATTCCTACCACGCAGGAGAGAGACAGGAGGAGATCTGGAATTCAAGGACTAGGATTTTTAGGCCAGTCGGGGCTACATCCTAAGATCCTGTCTGAAAAAAAAAAAAAAAAAAAAACCAGCATTGGGAAGGACTGGAGAGATGGCTCAGCAATTGGGAGCGCTGGCTGCTTTCCCAGAGGACTAAGGTTTGATTCCCAACACCTGCATGGAGGTTCACACCTGTAACTCCAGTTCCGGGGGATCTGATGCTCTTTTCGTGGGCATTGCATGTATATGGTGCACCTAACATATGTGTAGACACAGAGATAAAATGAAAATAATTTTTTTTTCTAAAGAACTGTAAAGTGAGCCAATGTCTTGTGGCTCACAAACATTTACACGGATGGAGCCACCATTAAAAAAAAAAAAAGAGGTAGGGCTGGAGAGATGGCTCAGCAGTTAAGAGCACTGGGGGGTGGGGTAGAGCTTTTCCAGAGATCCTGGGTTCAATTCTTAGCAACCATATCGTAGCTGATAGTCATCTATAATGAGATCTGGTGCCCTCTTCTGGCTTGTAGGCATACATGCAGGCAGAAAATTGTATACATAATAAATAAATCTTTAAAAAAAAAAAAGCCAGGTATCCTTGAAGAACTGGATGTTTGAGGGCAGAAACTAACTTGAATCTAGTTTTATTAGGAAAAAAATCCTAAGATGGGCGGCTCCGCCGGTGCAAAGAAATCCAATCAGGTCAGATCAAACCGAATTAAAATGCCCATTGTTTTATTAAATACGGTGAGTGCACTGCTGGGAGACAGGAAAGCGAGGAGCACCTGCAAACCCAGAACCACATGTTTCTCCTCTGGGAGCTCACTTAAATACGCTGGGGGAAGGGGTCAGGACCTGGCATGCTGGAATTTGGAGTCCAGACCAATGCAACTCCCAGGGCCAGAGGGCTGGGGTTACGCTTCCCACTTAACAAGTTTATCTTCTATTTTTTAGATTTATTTATTATGTAAACAGTGTTCTGCCTGTGTGTCCCCTACAGGCCAGAAGAGGGCACCAGATCTCATTATAGATGGCTGTGAGCCACCATGTGGCTGCTGGGAATTGAACTCAGGACCTCTGGAAGAGCAGCCAGTGCTCTTAACCTCCAGCCCTAGTTTATCTTCTTACACAAATCAGTCAGGTGACGCACACCCACAATACTAGGGCACTGATGCAGGAGCACTGCAAATTCCCTAGGCTACGGTAATGAGTTTGAAGCCAGCTTGGGTACTTAACAAGACATGTGTGCATGTGCGCGTGTGTGTGATATGTACATATATAATATATGCATGTATAAATACTTCCATATACATCCATCCATACACACATACAGTGTGTGTGTGTGTGTGTGTGTGTATATATATATATATATATTATCTCCCAACGTAGCTCTAATTGGCTTAGAACTAGTTATGTAAAACAAGTTGGCCTCCAACTCACAGGGATTTGCTTGCCTCTGCCTCCCTAGTGCAGGAATAAAAGTGTGTACTACCACACACGGCAAAATTATTTTATAGGGTTGGGGATGTATCTCAGCGGTGGAGTGTTTGCCTACCACACAGATAGGGCTAGATTTTGATCCCCAGTACTACAAGCACAAAACAAAAAGCAAGGAAGCTATCAAAGACCAATCAAGTGAGGACAGAGTGATTCAGGGGCCAACAGAAACTGGCTTCTTATGGCATCCTGTATGGCAGACAAGTCTACTCCCATCCGACAGTTTTCTGCAGTGGGACCGTCAGTTCATCCACCAAAGAGGAAATCTCATTTGGATAGTGACACATCCTACAATGCCAGCATTTGGGAGGAAGGGAGACTGGGAGCTGGGAAACTAGAGAGACAGCTTAGAGGTTGAGAGCACTTGCTCCTTTTCATGAAGACCTGAGTTCAGTTTCCAGCACTGACCACTCTCGAAGTCTAACTCCAAGGGTTATGGCGCCCTCTTCTGGCCTCTGTGGGCACCTGCACTCACATGTATTACCCCCCTCCCCCAACACACAAGACACATAATTGAAAAATAATAAAATATTTTTTAAAGGTCATGAGTTTGAAGTCAGCAGACTCATCTCAAGAGGAAAGCCAGAAAGAAAAAGGAAGATAGGGAGTGGGAAGAGGGAGCACAGAAGAAAAGCGTTCTCTTTCCACCTCCTTGAGTTTGAGTAACCTTGTGACTATTGGGATCAACAGAAGAGGTGAAAATGGCACTTGAACTGTGCTGGTTCCAGCACAGCCCTCACTCTGGCCTGCCAGCTCCCACTTCCTGCCTCTTGGAATGCCTATTCTTGGGAATTCTTCCTCCAGGCACGCTGTGAGAAACCCAGACTGTCTCGCTGTTGTGTATGAAGACAATCCCCGTGGGGCAAAGGTTGTGTTGTGTGTCTTTCCTGGAAAACAGAGACAGATATCCATTGTCCCCAGAAGAGAGAGAGAGACTAATGATTCTGCCAGGTCTACCTTGGTAAACCAGTTAGTTTATTGGGGTTACTGATGGTTAATAAAAGCTGTTCCTCGAGTTCCACAGCTTAGCTGGTCTGAGGATCCCTCCTTTCTAGCAGTCGGTTTTGCTTATATAACCTTGGAGAGGAGCCTTGTGATTTTTTTTTTGACAGGGTTTCTCTGTAGACCAGGCTAGCCTCGAACTCACATAGATGTTCCTGCCTCTGCCTCCTGAGGGCTTAAAGGCATGCACCACCACTACCTGGCTAATACTTGGGAAGCTGAGGCAGGAGTAACGCCATTATTCTCAGTCTGGGTTCAAAAAAGAGAAACGAAGGGTTGGTTAGTGACAAAGTTCGTGCCAAGCAAGCACAAGGCCCTGAGTTTGGAACCTGACCCAGAACCCACATAAAGACCCAGGCCTGGGGGTACGCCTATAATCCCAGTGCTTGGGGCTGGGGGTTCAGATCACCTCTCATACATGGTGGATACCTGAAGCTCACTGGCCATCCAGCCTAGCTCAGCTGATGAGCTTCAGGATCAGTGAGAAACTGTCTCAAAAAAGAAGACGCTTGTTTTGGCAGCATATATGCCAGAATTGGAATATAATACAGAAAGATTAACATGACCCTGAGCGAATCTGTGAAGTGTTTTTTATTTGTTTGTTTGTTTGAGACAAGGTCTCACTACAGAGTAGCCCTGTCTGGCACAGAACCTGCTAGACCAGATTGACCTCAAACTCAGAGATCCTTCAGCCTCTGCATGCAATGTTTTAAAAACATTTTTTTAGATTTATTTTATTTCATAAGTGTTGTCTGCATGTATGTGTGTATACCATATGTGTGCCTGGTGCCCTTAGAGGTCAGAAAAGGGCATCAAGTCTCCTGGAGTTACAGCCACCATATGGATGCTGGAAATCTAACCTGGTTCCTCTACAAGAACAATAAGTACTCTTAACTGCTGAGTCACTTCTCCGGCTCAAGTGTACCACATTCTAAAAGCAAACTAATAGATGGACCATAGTTAAGGAAAGATACTGGGTAACAACTTCTGGCATGCATATTCATATGTGAACATATAACACACACACCAAGTCCAAAGCCTTCCAGGGCTGGATATGTGACTCCGTGGTAAACTACTTATCGAACACATAAAAGGCCTTAGATTTGCTCCCTGGCACTGGAAAAAAAAAAGGCCTGGGACTGGAGAGATGGCTCAGAGGTTAAGAGCACTGGCTGTTCTTCCAGAGTTCAATTCTCAGCACTCACATGGCAGCTCACAGCTATCTATAACTCCTATTCCAGGGGATCTGACATCCTCACACAGACAAACATTCTGACAAAACACCAATGCACATAAAATAGAAATAAATAAACCAGTTTAAAGAGAGCAAGGGAAGAAGCCATAGCAGGGTTGTAACCTCCAGTGTGAAGCTGCTGGGGTCTGCTGAATCCCCACCCGTACAAGACAGGCAGAAGGAAAGGCGTGTCTTCTCGTGGAAAGACACTAATATTTGCTGTTACTGCCGAGTTTTGTTTGAGAAGAAAAGCCTAAAGAGGAACTGGCAAGCAGGTATAGTGGTGTATTAATAAAGCTTGCCTGAAGATCAGAGAGTAAAGCAGCCATACAAACCAGGGAGTGGTGGCACACTCCTTTAATCCCAGACAGAGGCAGGTGGATTTTTGCTGGTTCAAGGACATCCTGGGCTACACAAGATTGAATCTGTCTAAAAGAGAAACAGAGCTCACACAAAGGTGGTCTCAGCACTAGGGAGGTGGAGACGAGAGCCATATGGCTGGGCAGAGAGAGGAATAGAAAGAGGAAGAGACAGGAACTCTGTGGAGTCTTCAGAATTTGTGGAGACAGGATCTCACCTATTTTCCATTTGAGGTAGAGGTAAGAGAGAGTGGCTGGCTGCATTGCTTTTCTGACCTTCAGGTTGAACCCCAGTATCTGTCTCTGGGTTTTTATTATTTGTACTACAAACAGGTAAAAGGTGTATTTTAAAAAGATAAACAGGGTGTAATGGTGAAGGTCTTTAATCCCAGAACTCAGAGGCAGAGGCTGGTAGATCTCTCTGGGTTTGGGGCTAGAGTGGTCTACATAGTGAGTTCCAGGCCAGCAAGGGCACTGTCTTTAAAAAGCAAAATGAGGGGCTGGAGAGGTGGCTCAGAGGTTAAGAGCACTGGCTGCTCTTCCAAAGGTCCTGAGTTCAATTCCCAGCAACCACATGGTGGCTCACAACCATCTGAACTGAGATTTGGAGCCCTCCTATGGCGTGCGGGCACACGTGGAGGCAGAATGTTGTATACATAATAAATAAATCTTAAAAAAAAGCAAAATGAAAAATAAACAAAAAGGGGCTGCAGCTTTCTCTCCCTTGGTGCTACCTTCAAGGAAGCTGCCATTTCCTGCGCAGATCTTGGTTCCCCTCAGATCTAAGAAAGAAAGGAAGGAAGAAGGAAAGAAAAAGAGGACCATAGCCAGGTGGTAGTGGCATGAGACTTTAACCCCAACCTCAAGAAGCAGAGGCAGGGAGATCTCTGTGAGTTCGAAGCCAGCTTGGTCTACAGAGCAAGTTCCAGGAAAGCCAGGGCTACACAGAGAAACCCGATTTCGAAAAATGGGAGTGGGGGGTGATCAAGAAATTCCTTCAGTGAAAGTCAGAACCAAGAAGAAATGCAGAGGCATCAACAGGTTGCAGAGAAGCTTTGAGGGCCAGGTTCTAAAGCCCGGAATTGGTCACGAGAACAGCAAAGAAACCAAGCACATGCCGCCCAGGGGCTCTGTGTGTTCCTGGTGCAGCACCAATGCTGTGTTAGACATGCCGCCCAGGGGCTCTGCATGTTCCTGGTGCAGCACCAATGCTGTGTTAGACATGCCGCCCAGGGCTCTGCATGTTCCTGGTGCAGCACCAATGCTGTGTTAGACATGCCGCCCAGGGCTCTGTGTGTTCCTGGTGCAGCACCAATGCTGTGTTAGACATGCTGCCCAGGGCTCTGTGTGTTCCTGGTGCAGCACCAATGCTGTGTTAGACATGCTGCCCAGGGCTCTGTGTGTTCCTGGTGCAGCACCAATGCTGTGTTAGACATGCTGCCCAGGGCTCTGCGTGTTCCTGGTGCAGCACCAATGCTGTGTTAGACATGCTGCCCAGGGGCTCTGCATGTTCCTGGTCCAGCACCAATGCTGTGTTAGACATGCTGCCCAGGGGCTCTGCATGTTCCTGGTGCAGCACCAATGCTATGTTAGACATGCTGCCCAGGGGCTCTGCATGTTCCTGGTGCAGCACCAATGCTGTGTTAGACATGCTGCCCAGGGCTCTGCATGTTCCTGGTGCAGCACCAATGCTGTGTTAGACATGCTGCCCAGGGCTCTGCATGTTCCTGGTGCAGCACCAATGCTGTGTTAGACATGCTGCCCAGGGCTCTGCATGTTCCTGGTGCAGCACCAATGCTGTGTTAGACATGCTGCCCAGGGCTCTGCATGTTCCTGGTGCAGCACCAATGCTGTGTTAGACATGCTGCCCAGGGGCTCTGTGTGTTCCTGGTGCAGCACCAATGCTGTGTTAGACATGCTGCCCAGGGGCTCTGCATGTTCCTGGTGCAGCACCAATGCTGTGTTAGACATGCTGCCCAGGGCTCTGTGTGTTCCTGGTGCAGCACCAATGCTGTGTTAGACATGCTGCCCAGGGCTCTGTGTGTTCCTGGTGCAGCACCAATGCTGTGTTAGACATGCTGCCCAGGGCTCTGTGTGTTCCTGGTGCAGCACCAATGCTGTGTTAGACATGCTGCCCAGGGCTCTGTGTGTTCCTGGTGCAGCACCAATGCTGTGTTAGACATGCTGCACAGGGCTCTGTGTGTTCCTGGTGCAGCACCAATGCTATGTTAGACATGCTGACCAGGGCTCTGTGTGTTCCTGGTCCAGCACCAATGCTATGTTAGACATGCTGCCCAGGGGCTCTGCATGTTCCTGGTCCAGCACCAATGCTGTGTTAGACATGCTGCCCAGGGCTCTGCGTGTTCCTGGTGCAGCACCAATGCTGTGTTAGACATGCTGCCCAGGGGCTCTGCATGTTCCTGGTCCAGCACCAATGCTGTGTTAGACATGCTGCCCAGGGCTCTGCATGTTCCTGGTGCAGCACCAATGCTGTGTTAGACATGCTGCCCAGGGGCTCTGCATGTTCCTGGTCCAGCACCAATGCTGTGTTAGACATGCTGCCCAGGGGCTCTGCATGTTCCTGGTGCAGCACCAATGCTGTGTTAGACATGCTGCCCAGGGCTCTGCATGTTCCTGGTGCAGCACCAATGCTGTGTTAGACATGCTGCCCAGGGCTCTGCATGTTCCTGGTGCAGCACCAATGCTGTGTTAGACATGCTGCCCAGGGGCTCTGTGTGTTCCTGGTGCAGCACCAATGCTGTGTTAGACATGCTGCCCAGGGGCTCTGCATGTTCCTGGTGCAGCACCAATGCTGTGTTAGACATGCTGCCCAGGGCTCTGCATGTTCCTGGTGCAGCACCAATGCTGTGTTAGACATGCTGCCCAGGGGCTCTGTGTGTTCCTGGTGCAGCACCAATGCTGTGTTAGACATGCTGCCCAGGGGCTCTGCATGTTCCTGGTGCAGCACCAATGCTGTGTTAGACATGCTGCCCAGGGCTCTGTGTGTTCCTGGTGCAGCACCAATGCTGTGTTAGACATGCTGCCCAGGGCTCTGTGTGTTCCTGGTGCAGCACTAATGCTGTGTTAGACATGCTGCCCAGGGGCTCTGCATGTTCCTGGTGCAGCACCAATGCTGTGTTAGACATGCTGCCCAGGGCTCTGTGTGTTCCTGGTGCAGCACCAATGCTGTGTTAGACATGCTGCCCAGGGCTCTGTGTGTTCCTGGTGCAGCACTAATGCTGTGTTAGACATGCCGACCAGGGCTCTGTGTGTTCCTGGTGCAGCACTAATGCTGTCATGTCTGACACATCTCACTGTGCTGAGAGCACTCATGCTTCCTCCAAGAATCCCAAAGCATGGTGGCCATCAACGTCACCAATCCCAAAGCCAGGGATTGTGGCTTTCTTCTACAGAGAAGAAAGTGAAGAGATGGCTCAGGCACACATTTCATTTGTGCTTAAATGGAACTGCAAGAGCTTAAAAGGTGGGGGTGGGGGAGACACACAAGGCCAAGGAGACAGCTATGCCCATGTACGGGTGGACTGAGAAGATGCCACAAAGTTGCCCTCTGTCCTTCTTGGCATGCATACCCACACACGGACTTTAAAAAAAAAATATATATATATATATATAAAATATATATCAGAGTCCTTCAAAGGATGAGAGTGATTCAAGAATTTCTTAAGAGCATATGGATGGGCCTAGTTGATGGCACCTGCCAATAATTCCAGTACCTGGGAAGTCTGAAATAGAACCACTAAATTACAGCCAGCCTGGGCTGTACGAGTCTGTGTCTATCTCTCTCCTACCTCCAAAAGATCATTAAGATGGTTTGGAAATCCAGAATTGCTCTCGCCTTTTGAGGGCTTCACAACCTTATCCAGGGACACTGAAGTTGAATCAAGGAGGCCAAATTGCTTGAATGAAACAGGGGAATAATAGTCAAAATACCTTTATCTTGCCAGGTGCAGTGGCCCACGCCTTCAACCCCAGCACTTGGGAGGCAGAGGCAGGCGGATCTCTGTGAGTTCGAGGCCATCCAGACCTACAGAGTGAGACCCTTCACAAAAACAAGATACCCACACTCTAATACTAGCCCTCTGACTGGTCGGCCCCACTGTCTGGAACTGAGCCTTCGGGAACTGATAGAAAGACCAGGACTAAGTTTCACTTGCTGGCTCACTACTACAAAACTCTGCAGTGCTTGTTTAGGGCAGCAAATGATGAAAGAGAGTAGTTAGTTCCTCTAAGGAAGGCAGGGATAGTGACAGCTCAGTATTTCGTTGCTCGTGCCGTGTGAAGGTTTAAAGGTCAGTCAGGTAGATCTGGCTGTATATACCTGTGGTGCCAGCAGCTGGGAAGTGGGGGCAGGAGAGTGAGAAGTTCAAAGTCATCTCCAGTTACATCAGGAGACCAGTATAGGGATACATGACCTTGTCTCAAAAAAAACAAAAAATGAATTCACCAGGCCCGCTCTACTGAGAAAGGTCGAGGCCAGCGTCAAGCGACCTGAGCGACCGGAGGAAGCCGTACCTTGATGACGCTGTCCTTGCAGTCCACCACGCGCTCAAACGTTTGACTGAGGATCTCGATGTCCTTGAGAAGTTCCCTGGTCTTGACTTCCCTTAGGACAGTTCTCCACTGTGTGTTGATCTTATTAAGATTCAGAGCGCTGTTGTGTTCTTCCTTGGCCAGCTTGTCCTGTGTGAGGGAAAAACACACCCATTTCAGCCAAGGCCAAAGGTCTACCTGGGTACAACGGATACCACCCTGACAAACACCAGCCCTCGAGCATTCTGAAGGGCCAAAGCTCTTGTCAACCAACACCCAGGGCTCGGATTGGTGATTTTCGATGGGAGTTTCCTTCAAGGTGAGACGTCAAAGCAGAAGACTTTCTAATGATCCCACTCCAGACGGGACAGCAGAATTTTCTTTTTTTTTTTTTTAAAAAAAAATTTAGTTAGCTTTATTTTATGTGGATTGGTGTGAAGGTATCAGATCCCCAGAAACTGGAGTTACAGACAGTTGTTAGCTGTCATGTGGGTGCTGGGAATTGAACTCGGGTCCTCTGGAAGAACAGCCAGTGCTCCTACCTGCTGAGCCATCTCTCCAGCCCCCCAGATTTTCAAGATAGCTGAATTTGGACACTTGACAGCACCTACTGTCCTAATTCCGGAGCTCAGCTGGTACTTCCAACTCTATTCCCCCTCTCCATGCTTCACAGAGAACTCCCTAGGACGAAAACAATGTAGCCGAGGACTTCGGAGGAGGCACGGGCGGGATGAAAATGAGTCAGTCAACAGTGACGCGACCTGGGCAACGGTGCCAGGGCATGGGAGGGGTGGGTATGGGCAAGACACAGTAAAGACAAGCATCACCTTCAAGAACTGTGTGAGAAGCCTCTCTTTCTTCTTGGCCGCCTCCTCCTCTGCCAGCAACTTCTGCTGAAATAAAAGCAGCTGCTCTTCGTCCGTCAAGGGTACCTTTGCCTTTTTCCCTTTTTTAGGCATGGCTGGGCCGGCGGACTGGATTCAGGCAAAGAGCCTCGGCCTGCCGCCACGGCCTGCTTGTGAGAAATTAGAAAGAAAACGCTCCCATAGACAGGGACCTTCTGGAACTAAGGTAATGGAGCCTTAGTTATACCTCAGTCCTCTGCCAAGAGAGCTCAGGCCGTCAACAGACGGCTCAAGAGTCGAACGACGCATCTTGTCTCCTAGCAACAAGGACCTTCGCTAAGACCGCTGCCCGTGTGAGAAATTGTAAGGTGAGCCCTATTTTGAAGCGCCCCCTGCACTCTGGAGGACCGCAGTCAGTTCTTGTGGAGAGGGCTTTTTATCATAAAAATCCTGCTCTCTCTCTTTTTAAAAAAAGCCTTCAAATATTTTTTTCTATTTTACTGTTTTATTTTGTGTATGTGTGTTTTGTCTGCATACATGGGCATGCCTGTTGCCTGCAGAGACCAGAAGAGGGTGTTGGATTCAGTGGAACAGGTCAAGACCACTCACACACATACTCAATCTTTTTTGAGGGTGGGTGTATCAGGTTTCTTTTGGGCCACCAACCAGCTCCCAAATCATAACACAAACACTCTTATACTTAGTTTAAATGCTTGGCTTAGTTTAGGCTTCTTTCTGGCTAGCTCTTTTAACTTAACCTGTTTCTCTTTATCTACCTTTTGCCTCCGGCCTTTTCACTTTTCTTTATTCTCTGTGACTTTCTTTCCTGCTTACTTCGTGGCTGGCTGGGTGGCTGACCTCTGGTGTCTCCCTCTCTTGACGTGTTCTTCATTTCTCCTCCTATTTATTCTCTCTCTCTGCCAGCCCCGCCTATCCTTTCTCCTGCCTAGATACTGGCTGTTCTTTACTAACCCAATCAGGTGCCTCAGGCAGGCAAGGTGAAACAAATGCCACACATCTTTTAATAACTATACAATAGCAGCATAGACAAATGTAACACACCTTTACACAGTTAAAGTAATATTCTGCAACATAAACAAATGTAACCTATCTTTACATAGTTAAAGTAATATTCTGCAACATAAACAAATGTAACATATCTTTACATAGTTAAAGTAATATTCCACAACAGGTGGGCCAGTGAGAAGGCTCAGTGGGTAAGGGAGTTGCTGCCAAGCCTGATGATCTGAGACCAACCACCAACGCCAGCTTCAAGGGCTCAAAATCCTTTCTGACCTCAGTGGACACTGGACTCATGTACACAAACACACATATACATAAAACATTTTAAATCTTTGTAAAATGGTCTCCTTGGAGGTGGAGAGATGGCTCAGAGGATAAGAGCACTGGCTGCAATTGTAGAAGGTCTGGATTCAGTTCCCAGCACCCACATGGCAGCTCACAACTGCCCATAATTCCAGTTCCAGGGGATCTGATTCCCACTCTGACCTCTGTGGGCACCCGGTACACACATGGTGCACATACATACACGCAGGCAAAACAGATGCACATAAAACAAATCAATCTAGAAACTGTCTTGAGACAGCATCTCATTGTGTAGCCCCAGATGGCCAGAAACTCACTATATAGTCCAGGTTGACCTCAGACTCATAAAAACCTGTTTGCCTCTGCCTCCCCGGTGCTGGCATCAAAGGTATGCATTACCACTTCTAACTTAAAGTTTCTTCAAGCGAAAAATTCTTTGGATAACAAAAAGAAATACAGCAGTGCGCGTTTCCCCATATAGACACCCGCAGCTGAAGGAGCAGCAGACCTCTCAAGCCACAGCCCGCCCTGCTCAGGCAGCCGGGTGCACTCTCCTCGACATGGCCGCACCTCTGTCTTCTAAGCTGCCTTGCTTTTCTGTTTAACCCATACAGTATCTTTACTTCACTCTGCCTGAAATTCTGTTCTGTGGTAGATGTGCCCACGAGGACCTGAGCAGAATTCCCTGTGACTTCACTGGAGACTCTTTAGGCTGTGCAGCCAGCATCCTCGAGTTATTCTGAAAATTAGATGGGATGTTCAGAGAACAAAGCACAAAGATGGAAAGCAGGTAAGGACTGTAACCCTAACTACTACTAATAAGAAGAGTAGTGGGGAGCTCTGGGGAAGTGATGCTGGTTAGACTCTCAGGAAAGTGAGCTCCTTTAGTTGGATTAGTGTCCTTAGCAGACAAAGAGACTAATCTGGAAGATGGTTTAGGCTTAAGAGCACTGGCTACTCTTCCAGAGAACCCAGGTTCAATTCCCAGCAACCACATGGTGGCTCACAACCACCTGACCCTTTCTTCAGCCTCCTCAGGCACCAGGCATGCTTGTGCAGACACACATGTAAGCAAAACACTTACACATTAAATAAGTGTTAAAAGACACTAAAAAACATTCAAGAAGAGAATGTAACAAATGATATTTTTTTGTGGCCTTTGAATACACCAGAAGACAGCCTTCCAAGACCTTCTAGATCCCAGATCTGTCACCACCATATTAACTTCTTGTTCTCTAGACTGTGAGAAATAAGTGGTCACTGTTTAAGCCACACTGTGTATTGTATTCTGTTCTTGCAGTGTGCGTTAAAATAGCTTCCCTTTGTCAGGGGAGGGGAGATTACTAGCACACACACGAAGGGTCACGTGGAATGGAGAAAAGGTTCTAAAACTACATTATGCTACACAGCTTGATATGTTTAGTAGCTTTTAAAAGGAATAAGACATGTTTGGCGTGTGTGGTCACATACACATTGCACAGGAGTAAGACATGTTTAGCGTGTGTGTGGTCACACACACACACTGCACAGGAGTAGAAGTTCAAGGACAACTTTCAGGAGTCAGTCCCAGGACTCGAGCCCAGGTGGTTGGTGGCAGACACAATTTACCCACTAAGTCATCTCACTGGCCCCTAGATTACCTCATCACTTCCCTTTTTTTTCACTGTTAACTAAGAATTTTAATTTATGTGCCATAGTATTTGGCCTTTCTCTTTTCACTCTTTGTTGCTCTTGTGTCCGGGGATGGAGTAGGGTTGTCTAGCATTTGCTCGGTAAGTGATACAACTTAAGTCACAGCCCTTCTGTGTTGTGTTCAAAGGGCCTTTGGGGATCTTAAACTCAGTAAGCTTGGTTTCTACCTATTTCCTAGTAGCTTTATTGTTCTTTCATATATATATATATGTTTATTTTATCTTATTACAGCATTCCAAACTGACCAAGATAACATCATCTCAACTTTTTTTAAATTATGAAAGTTTGGCCTTTGGTGTCTTCCGTGTTTGCACCTAAACCTTGATGTGTGATCTTGTGGTTTCATCTGTGCCTTGGGGGTATTTCCTCACTGTTCTGCCTTATTCCTTCCACTGTGAATCAAGAATCCACATGTGGCTGGGTTTGTGTTTACGGAGGAGAACGTACTGCTCTGGCCTCTGCATTTCTGAAAATAGGTACACAATTTGATCCACATGCTCATATTTGTGCAACACACACATGCATGAGATGGAAAACAAAATTCATGATTTTCCGTTTTTGTCTTTTTGAGGTGGGAGTCTCATGTTCAGGCTGGCTTTGAACGCATTATGTAGCTGAATCTAGCCTTGCCTCTCCTGATCCTCCTGTCTCCACCTCCCAAGTGCTGCGATTACAGGTGAGTGCCACCATGCCAAAAGACATTATTACCAAGGGACTAGCAGTTTAGCAGCAGAAATAACAAATACCTAATAATAAATATGCAGAAATCACGTCAATAACATTTTGAGCATTCACTGCATGCCGAGTGCTGACTTAAGTGTTATGTGTGCATTACCTAATGGGATTCTTACAGCAGCCCTGTGAAGTAAGTGCGGCTATTATTTTTATTTAACAGATGAGAAAAGTGATGCTTAGAGGCCTTTAGCTCAAGGCTACATCAGGAGAAGTTGGTCGGTTTGGATGGACCGAGAGGACAGGCAGCGTTAACGCCAGAAGAGTCAACCATCTTCACAAGGTACGTGGTATTCAATAACCTTTATGACCCTCCCTCCCAAACCCAGATTCTTCTCATAGCTTCGCAAATCTGCTCTAGGATGGATGCAGAGGCTCCTGTTTCCATGGTGATGGGGCGGCTGATACACTGCACGCCAAGTGTAGGCGATGCAGAGAATTGGCTCAGGATCGAAAGGTGTCGCAGCGGAACCCAGGGAAAAGAGGATCAATGAGAAAGCCAGGTCTGAGAGACGGGACCTCCCTGAAGCTCCAGATGAGCCTCCAGAGCTGTCTTGTCCCTGCCTCCCTAACTGCTAGCCTGGGACACCCGAACCCTGGGAAAGAAACACAGCCACTCCAGACTCAAGCCAGGTCACAGGCTGGAAGCCTGTCCCGTGGGGCGATCCTCTCCTTCCACCTCCCCTTTGCCTCGCAGCCCTTGGTTCCTGCGTGGCGATCTCGGTCTTGGACTCTCCCCGGGTCGATGGAGCTGAGCAGCCAGCAGGGGGCAGAGTCTCCCTCTGCGGAAGGACGCCTTAGAGGCTCGCACCCCCAGCTTCAGGGCTATTTTCAGCTGACAGGCTGCAAAGGCGCAGTAGGTGGATTTCAGGACAGGAGATGGGTGCTGGCAGGGGCTGGGAACCACTGAAGCACCGGACTTAAGCAGTGGGCCCCGCTGAGAAGACGGTACTTGGGGGTCACCAGACAGGGGGCTGAAATAATCAACGTTTAAAAATCTTCCCCTCAGTTTTCTTCGAGCTTTTTGTTGTTGTTGCAGTTTTTTCCCATTAAAAAAAAACATCCTAATGCGGGGGAGGCTTATTCATTCAGTGTTTATCGAGTATACAACTGTTACAGACAGATACAGCCATTCAGAACAAATATTTCTAAAATGTACAATGATTCTTAACCTTTTGTGAGCGGGAAGTGTCATATCTTTTTAAACAATTACTTATTTTTATGTAAATGGGTGTTTGGACTGCATGTGTGTTTGTGCAACATGTGTGAGCCTCGGATAACAGAAGAGGGCATCGGAGTTACAGGTGGTTGCGAGCAGCCATGTGGGCGCTGGGAACCAGACCCTGCTCCCCCTGGAAGAGCAGCCAGTGTACTTAGCTGATGAGCCATCTTACCAGACTCTGGATATCTTTACGGTAATTATGATAAGAAGGATATAGATTCTCCCCCAGAAAGAATATGCCATGAAATTAAAAACATTTCATGCGAGATTGGACACCTTATAAACCCCTCCCTGTCTTGTATGAAATGGCTTATTTGAAACAGAAGAA